GCAATATACAGGCAGTCCTTGCTGAGATGGGATTTACAGGGCAATCCATGTATCCTCTCTGGATGGCTTCCACGGCTTAATAGTTCTACTGGAGAAGGGGCCCAATCATTATTAAGTACATTAAAAACACAGAACCCCCACTATTGGGTGATACAGTTCAGCTCAGAAAACACTAGAGTTTCTGAAAACCAGAGCCTACTCCCCCCGCCCATATGAAAGATTTAATTTGTAAACTTTTAATGGAACATCAATGTTAGCTGCTTCTTGGGGGACAACTGATACCCACATTCCTGCTGGATGCTCTGCTATACCACAGCCATCTATAGTCCTACTAGCAGAGGATGAATTGTTTTGAGAAAGGGAATAACCATCTGTCCCAACATCAGTAATGGTGAAAAGTACCAAGCTGACAATCCTGGAGGTTTAGGTCCTTTCCCTAGAGGACAGAAACAGTGCAGGCCGTGAGGGTTTCCCTGAGTGGAGGTCATAGGATCATAAGAAAGTAGGGCTGGAAAGGATCGCAAGAGGTCATCTAGTTGAACCCCCTGCTCAAGGCAGGATCTCTGATTTAACCATCCCAGTCAAGTGTCTGTCTAACCTGCTTTTGCATGGAGAGGGTGGTGGAATCTCCATCTGTAGACATCCAAGACCAGTGCACCAGACCAGAAGCTAAGAAGGTTAGTGTCTAGTGTCTTCTCCACTCCTGACTGGTCATATGATGGTAGGAGGTCACATGACTTGTCCAGGCCTCAGTTTACCAATCAGCAAAATATATAGTATTATATCTGTCTTTGCTCATGCTGCTTTTCAGGACTCTATTTACTTCCTAAATATCATTGTGGCAGAGGCAATACTAGGCTTGCCTCCAAGTAGAAACCCCTGGGCTTCAGGCATGGCAGGAGAACAGAATCATCTAGAAAACATACAGCACAGCTATACCATCACAGGACCATGATGAGAAGCACAGCACAAGCTCCATGCACGCCACATCTTGAAATGGATACAACAGACCCCGCTTAGCACAGCACTGGGCATGCAGCAGTAAGCATGCTTGAACCAAGCCAGTAAGCCCGTCTGAAACAGCAGACCTATTAGCACAAGCGCAGAGCACACCATGGCACTTCCTAGCATGGTTCTCTGACAGTTTAGACAAGACCTTAATTGTTCTGTGAAGAGGAAAGGATGTTGCAGTGGTTGGACATCAAGAGAAACAGTGATAGAGGCATCTGTTCTTAACCACCAGTTACTGAACTAATGATGTGAAGAATATTCTGATGCAACCTCCTCTGTTCAAGATCAACACATACACATGGTATATAAACAAATCACACAAATGTTTCCTAACAATGGAAACTGATTTGCCCCTAGGCCCCAAAAGCATTGCCCCTAGGCCCCAAAAGCAGCCACAATTGGCTGAAGGGTTATAACATTATTACTTTGCCTAATCTACAGCACTCCTAGGCGTTTCATCACCCAATTCTCTTATCACCGATGCAGAAGTTAGCTGGTCTGTGTTCCCCTCTGCCTCTGCTAATATTGCCAACTGCACAAAGACACATTTTTCAGCGCTGATTTTCAGGTTCACAAAAAAATCTTGCTGAAATCAAGCTAACACCTACTGCTGCAAGAAAACATCCAGCATTGCCTCATTCCTGGCACAAGAGGTATTCACTCACAGTATGGATAGGCTTTCTAATTACAGAAATTGGTTTGACTTCCCATACCTGCTGTGAAGAACACATCCCAGGTGCCAACACCCATCCGGGAGGGAAATACCTAAGAACCTAATTGTAAAGATCAATTAGGACTCTCCAGATGACAGGCTTATTTAGGAGTCTGGACATAGGTGTTGCTCCAATTCAGATGGGGTGGTGTGGAGTTAGGAAAGTCTCAAAGAAGCCTTAAAATCCCTGGTTGCAGCAGTATTTCCCAAAGCCGAGAAGGAGACAGTATCCCAATCTAGAGGTCTGTGAAGCTAAGGGAGGAGAGTGACAATTCAGGTTTAGGAGGTTATTATAAAATGATCCTTTTCATGAAAACATGCACATGCCATAAATGAGTAACCACATAATCTTTTTATGGATGGGATGTAACTACTCCAGGGCTTGAGCTAGTATCCAATGAAGTTTGCATGTTCATTCCCTTCTTCACACCAAACTATTTATTGTTTCTTTACATGGTGCAACACATCACTACTTAGACTGGACCCTCCTTGAGACAGGCATCCTACCTTGATATTTGTTCTGCAAAACACCTCATCTATTACAGAATTTTTTTTAAAGTATTACTTTGTTTTTCATACAGCACTTGCCAATAATCAAAGGAAGTCAGTCCCTGAGTTGCACTGCTTACAGTCTAAATGCCTCAGGGCTAAGGTGGTCTTTTGGGGATAAGCGAGTCAATGTGTAATTCTACCAATTTATCAGGAATTAAGGACTTGTCAGAGCATAAGTTTGCTTCTTTAGTTAGAAGTAATGATTGAAATCCTGGCTTCATTGAAGCCAGTGGGAGTTTTGCCATTGACATTGACTTAGGTAGTTCACCTAATGTGTACACTGTTCCTTTATATATGAATTTCTCTCTGCCTTACCTGACAGTAACACAGGTAGCTTTCTTTGCCTTGTCCCTGTTGGCCAATTTCTCCCAGTTATAAGGAAAATGAGAGAGACTGGTCTTGTAGTGACCTTCTCTCAATAGCATGCTCCAATTTGGCAGTGAGTTATAACGAGATCAGGGAGGTTACTCCCCTGCCCAGGGTAGTTTCTACCACATAAATAAACACAAGCCACTAGCAATATGAACAAGTACTAATCATTGCCTCTGCAAAGGGATGTCTTCTGCTGGAAAGTTATGTACCTTCCAACAGTGAACTCCTATAACTCCTTGAACCCTGCCCCATGGTTCAGGGCTTGGCCAACCTGTCCCAGAGCCAGCTTCCCCTAGCTCTGCAGGCATGTCTGTCACCAACATGTGTGACAGGAGTCCTAAGTGCATGTACAAGAACCATTCCACTTTGTGCTGGTGTGGTTGGGTGACAACAACTTTACGTAATCTTCCCCTTTCTGCAGCCATAAACCTGGCATCAGTACAGCCGGCCTCCGCAGGGACACTGTTTTAGACTTCATTAAAGGGGGTGGGAAGCTTTCAAGCTAGGGAAAAGAGCATGTACTAGCACTAACGCTGCAGCCCTGTAAGAGAAAGAGATACCAGGAGTTTTCTACCAGTGTGTATCCCTGCTGAGCAAGCTAGAGTTCACCCTTTCCCAACTGCTACTTCTGCTTTCCCAGCACTTTGTGTCAAGGAGTAAAAGAGCAAATCCAACATCTTTCCTTTGGCATAGGCACCAAGCTTGCATAGAGCAGTGGGTTAGCTCTTTGTAACATCTGTGTGCTAACTGCTATGTAGAAATGTTACAGGAAGGTGCTCAACAACCAGATCTGCTAGGCAACTGCAAGGCTGAAAATGGATGGATGTACATTATATGCACTGGAGGGAGAATGAATTGAGAGCATTCAGTTGCTGTAATCTGCTACGTGGTGATGGATGCATGAAGTCGCATGGGATTTGATTGATTGCTGGAAGGTCATAAGGAGAAAATCAGCCTGTTCACCTCATCTGCTCTTACCTGAGAAAGCTGTAAGCACTGGAAATTCCCCAGAAAGTCTAAAAAGATAGCCAGAGGAAGACGTCAGCCTGATCTGCACCTCCATGAAGTCTTCATACAAACGTTTGCCCTTCTGATATGATAGCAGCTGATCAGAAGCCATAGTTACCATTCTGCTGGAAATACTGACTTTTAAAAAAACAACAAAACAAAACACCTTAATTCTAAATTGAACAAAAAACTAAAACCTGGAAATTTCTTGTGAAACACAAAACTCAAAATTTTAATTTTACAGCATTGAAACAGCATTTCAATAAAACAAAGTTCTTCACAATAAAACAAAGCTCTTCACTGTTGATCGTTTATAATTTCGTATCATAATTCATACGATAATGTTTTACAAAAAAGTCACTTATAAGCAAACATAATCCTTGTGTTCAGTTACCCCTAAGGAATAACCCAACCTAACCAAAATGCTCCATCTCAAATATTATTACAGTTAAATTCCATCAGAACTGACACATGTCCGTGAAACAAGTCTATTGTGACAAATCAGTATTTTCCAACCTCCTCTTGAAAATTTTTAAGCAGCTCACATTAAAATCCACATTTCTTCTCTTGTTTTTCTAACCCATTTATTTCTTTGTGCATAACTTGCAGGATTGCTCTTATTTTAGCCATATTAAAAAGACTGGGCTCTCACTTTGTTTCCTTTACTTCTAACCAGGGTTGAGTTTGGCCAACTTTTTCCATTGCTAGGCTTCCCCAGCTCACACTGCTCTTGTCTCTGACAGATACCTGGTCATAGGCATCTATGATGGAGTCTTGCATACACATACACATGTTGAAAAGCTACTGCTTACTGCTATAGTTTAGAAACAGTATGGAACGAGCATTGCCTTACCTTTTTCTTTACATAATTTCCCTTTGCTGTGTATCTACCTGGTATCAGTACATCTGTCCTCCCTAGGGATAATACTTTAGACTAAATTAAAAGGTTGGGCAAATTTTTAGGCAAAAAAAGTCAAGCTGAGAATATAAAAGTATGGTGAGACTGCAACAGACACATAGAGTAGCGAGCTCAGAAGCAGACATAAATATTACCCAAATCCTGAGGTAAGGAAATAATTGGAAAGAAGCAGTTCTAATTTCAAGAACAAAGGGGATATCTTTTTAAATCATCCTCTTTCCCTTTTTAAGGTGGAACAATCTTCTGCTAATAAGATTAGAGAACATGAGGTGACTTCTCTTTTTGTGGATGCGTAAATGTCATTGCCTTTGCATTTGGTGCTCTCTTATAATGTGCCTGAATTATACCTTCAGTCACCACTCCTGAACAGTTCTGCTTTATGACCTCAGATGTTGACATCATCAATAAAACAATGTTGAGCAATATTCCAGCACTCATCTCCAAAGGACTCAGGCACCAGAGACGACCATAATGCAGGGCAAAGGAATACAAGGCTTGCTTACACACAGAAGAGTTGTAGGCTTTACTTTCCAAGCCACCTGCTGCTTTTGCCACCATGGATGATGCTGCAGTCCTCAGAAGAAAAGGTTACATCATGGGGAGCAATTTAGGGGAGAGTTCTTTTGCCAAAGTGAAATCTGCCTACTCAGAGCGCCTGAAATTTAACGTGGCAGTGAAAATTACCGACAGGAAAAGAGTTCCTGCTGAGTTCTTGGAAAAATTTCTCCCCAGGGAACTGGAGATATTGGCAAATGTAAACCATTGTTCCATCATCAAGATATACGAGATCTTTGAGACATCTGGCAAAGTCTATATAGTCATGGAGCTCTGTGTACATGGAGACTTACTGGAGTTCATCAAGAGCAACCGAGGTTTACCTGAAGGAGTAGCACGGAAGATGTTTCGCCAGCTATCTTGTGCCGTCAAATACTGTCACGATTTGGACATTGTCCACAGGGACCTGAAGTGTGACAACATCCTACTGGACAAAGACATGAACATCAAGCTGTCTGACTTTGGCTTTTCCAAACGGTGCTTTTGGGATGAGAATGGGAGAATGATCCTTAGCCAAACCTTCTGTGGCTCGACTGCTTATGCAGCTCCTGAAGTGATACAAGGTATTCCCTATCAGCCCAAAGTTTATGATATATGGAGTCTAGGTGTCATTTTGTATGTGATGGTCTGTGGGTTTATGCCATATGATGACTCCAATGTTAAGAGAATGGTCCGCCTACAGAAAGAGCGGAGAGTAATCTTCCCAGACTTCTTGACACAAGAATGCAAAGATCTTATTTTCCAAATGCTGCAGCCCAACGTGTCTCACCGGCTACGAATTGAAGATGTTTTGAGCCACACTTGGGTGCAAGGGAAGCACCGGAAGTCATACCACACATGCTTGAATAATCAATAAACCACTAAACACACAAAAGCACAAGCAAGGAGGGTAAGCAGGATCTATTTTTAATCAGCTGTCCCACTGCTAAGGACTGTAACTGTTGCTATGATCAGTGTTTTCCTTTGCTCAATATGCCCTGTCATTTTCACTGTGAGATCTTATAACCACTTTCACATTTAGAAACCAGCTACGTCGCAGACAGCCCCCATGTGAAACAACATCATTGCTGTTGGGGTTACTGTGAATGTCAGCTTTTGATGTCACACAGATATTCTCCTTCCAGTGCTGTAGCCAGCAGTTTCAGCCTCTGCCCATCCCACCATTACCTCACTTATTGGCACCAGAAGCATGTATTGGTCCTTTCCATGGAGAGGCAATATCCTGTGCCAAAGAAATTAGAAACTATGATTGACGTGACATGCCAGAGAAGTGAGAACTAGCCTCAGAGTTATCTAGGAGTGATCTTCTAAGAGTGTAATAAGAAGAGGGCTTATCAGCCGAAAATTGAGAAGGAGGGCTGGTGGGGTTGGATAGGATATGGGCTACTAGTTTGAGAGGCAACCATGACAGAGGCCAGGAACATCTTCAGAGTAGTTTGCTTGCTTTTCTCAGCCTCAGAGATCATTACTTCTTGTTCTTCCTCCTAATGATCTCAACAGAGCTCTCTGCCAATCAGGGAGGGGGCACAGGCTCAGTTCTTTGGTGCTGGAATTTAATAGCAAGGAAGCAATTTGTAATCCCATCAGGCCAAAAGTAAAGGTAGCACTAACATCTAAGGCCCAGTTCACACTGCAACTTTGAAGCAAGTCTGTAAACAGTTGAAGCCACTTTTGGCACTAACCCTGCTTTGTATCACATAGCAATATTCCATACAAATGGCTGGATCTGTCGGTAGCTCTGCCAACTAAGTGTTTTGCCTGTCCCAGCAGCCTTGGATGCCCCAGTGGAACCAGTTCAAGGAAGAAGATTGGGTTTGTTTCATTTTTGTGGGAGCTGAAGCCCCTGCCCAGGTTTGTGTAACAAATCTGGTCCTCCTTCCTTCCTTCCTTCCCCTAGGTCTAGGAATGAAGACATCCCAGAGTGCACTGCACCACATACTGCTAACTTCAGCATGTTGGTACATAAACTCATCACGTACCCTGTCCCCTGCTGAGACACTGTGGGACAATTCACCTGTTTTCCCAGAATTCACTTGCTTCTGGGCAGCACAATAGGCAAGGCAAGACACACAAATACACTGATGGCAGGAAAGCAGCTGTGCGACACACATGCAAAATCATAGGGCAAAGGTATTGTGCAGGCAGATAATCTGACACCCTGCAGACTGTCTCATTTCCTGCTCTAGTGAACCTCATTTACCAAGGACCTGCTGTCAAATGACATGTGGCAACCTTTTAATACTTTGCTTCCTGAGGAAACAGCATGCTCCAATGGCCCTGGGGCAGTGGGCTTGTAGGAGACAAGTTTTTCTCTCCCATCGCAACCCTTGATTCACTCTGTGATCTTGGAAGCATCACCTTAGCATTTAGAAACTTAGGACTGTAAAGGACCTGCTGGGTTACCAAGTCCAATCCCCATCTAGCACAGGCACCACATCGTATGATTCTTTCCCTAAACTTCTCATGCTCCTCCTGAAAGGTAGTTGCAGGGAGTGGGGAAGGGTGTTTGCCCCCTTCTTCTTTGTAAAGCCCAGGGATGAATAACAGTAGAAAAGTGAACAGGAAATAAAGATTGTGACTTAACTGAGCAATGGAATTGTTTACTAATATATCAATAAAAGCAGCATCTCTGTTTCAATGTATGCTTGGTGCGTTGCAAATCACAACAGAAAGAGAAAGGGCTGAATCCTGAGCAACAGGAGCAAGGTTTGTCCTTAATCTCTCAAGGCAGGAATGTCAAACTCACCTTGCCTCATGCGCTGGATCCTCACAAGAAGGTTTCTCGCAGGCTGGATTCGGAGGCAGCAACGGCCATGGAGATTAACACAGCCATCACTCATCCCCATTGCTGTGGGGGCATAGCCAAGAGGGCTCTGTACCCAGAATTTTGGCAGCAGGCCCCCTTCCCCAAATTCCCAGCCCCCCTGGGAGTCCCATGGGCCAGATGACACTGCTGTGCTGGCTGGATCTAGCCTGCAGGCCAACATTTGACACCCCTATCTTAAGGCAACAGCTGCAGGGCCGTGCTATGACTAGAAGGCAAAAGGGCAGCTTCTGGAAGGAATATGTCAGCTTCTTTGCAACACATTTTTTTTTGTCAGCCGCACTAAAAGAATTCAAATTACAGTTCACTCTTGCCAACCTGCATTTTTCCTCCTTCAAAATGTCAGGGACTGATATTAAAAAAATAAAAATCCTTTTCTTTCTCCCTCCCTCCAATTCTTGTGAATCAACATCACTGAGCAAATATTAAGCTGCCCTTTGCTTAAACTGTGTTCCTGGAAAATATCTTGAGTATATTTATAGTGTAGCCCAGGCTTTGATTGTGTCATCACAAGAGGTGGAGTGGGTCTAATCTGGCAACGTCCGTCCTTCAGGTATTATTTGTATGCTTGATGCAATCTAACCATTCAAGTGACAAAACCGGTTCTGCTGAAGAACACTTCTGTTGAACCATTTTATGGGACCCTTGACAGATTGCCTCTAGCAGAAATGATTTAGCAAAGTCAACCAGAGATGGGAAAATCATCCCAACTTCGCCTTTAATTTGGCAACCATATTTTTGGACAACAGTTTCCCAAGAACCCCCTACTGGCACAAGGCTGCTAAAATATTTATCTTCATTAACAACAATGGTCTCTAACATCCTTGTTTATTCAGCTTTGATAGTGTTCCTTAATGCACAATGAAGTGTGCTTTCTAATGAATACTTTCTCGGCACTTTGAAGACACAGTGCATTCAGCAAACTCTGATCTCTCTCAAAGTCAGAGCAGTTTAAAATTGAGCCACTTGTTACTGGCTTCATTAAATATGCGATGCAATTCTTAGCAGGCTGAACACCCAAGGTATTTTTAAACAAGTTATGTTTCTTTAATTAGCCTGAATAAAGCCCAAATCCCAGCTACTCTCCCATGACCCACTGCAAATGGGATTAGCCATTTGCAAAATTGGTTCAATGGACATTTGGTGTAAATATTTCAGTGCTCAAAGCAGTCAGAAACACACGCACGCACACACACGGGAAGATAAGCTTAAAGTCTGATAGTGCCTGAAGGGACAAATGCATCAGGGATCCATTTTGCTAGGCAGCTTACAATTATACAAGCCAGCCTTCACCCTAAAAATAAGAGAAGTATATTTATGCTGTCAGTTGAAATTAAATGCATGTACTCAGTTCACATGACAAGAGAGAGGGAGAAAGACAAAGAACATGCACACATGTGCAAGTGTGAGTGTGAAAGCAAGTACACAGCCTGTATGCTCTGCAGTTATCTAACAAACCCTTTAAAAAATAGCTGGTCAATGAAAAGAATTCAATTCTAAGTCTCAAGTTCTTAGCCAAAAAGCAGTACTGGCAGTGTTTTGTTCTTCTTGCCCATTCGTGAATCACTGTCATTATTTATGCATTTCAGATCAGCATTGCTTTTTAATGTACGGACATTTCATTAGTGAATGATCAAAGTCTCCCTTGAACTATGGTATAATTTACTGGAAAATATTCCTGCAGTTGTGACTCACAAAATTGAAGAAATCCTGATGTGACACTGTCAAAGTGCTGCATGTGTAAGACTCTGCATAAGGAAGACAAAGGTAATTATCTTTTATTGGAACAGCTCTATGGTTGGTATAGACATAGGCAAACTTTCAGGTATCTCAGTACTCCTTCAGGTCTGAATAAGGCCTGAGCCACAGGATTGAGTAAGGTACCTCAGCTCCCTGTGCAACTGATGGGAAAAGTGACCTAGACTCCCTGGAACAGGATTCACAATAGTCAGCCTGCTGGACAGGCCTGAGAAAAGAGTACCGTGAATCCCAAAAGCTTACCTACCTATGTCTATACCAACCTTGCAGTTGATGCAATAAAAGATAATCACCCAGAAGAATTCTTGCTTTTCACATATCTCCTGAACCATCATGGTGACATCATCACCTAGACTACCAAGACTTTACATAAGTCCTCTCTTTTGCTCTACAGACCAGTGATCAAAAAGGGTGCTGAGCACTTGAAACTCCCACTGATTCCAACTGAACCCTGCAGATTAATTAGTACCTCTGGAATCTGATCTGGTTGCATGTGTTCATGTGCAAACCTCAGACTTTTACACAGCAGATTCAAGGGCATATATTAAGCCCTGGCAGGATTTTCTCCTGCCTGCTATACATAGTTTTAGAAACCCTCTTCCTCCATCCCACTATAAGACAGAAGAGCTGTGCAGTCATGATTACCTGGCACTTTTTTTTTTTTTTAAGGCTCAGGGCCTTAGATCCCCAAAGGGATTTGGACACCACCATCATGTGTAGGCACCTGTCATTCCTGATTTAAGCACCTGAGTTCCCCACGCAATGCATGGGAAGAGTGAGCTAGACTCCCTGGAACAGGATTCACCCCAGCCAGCACCCTATACTCCACCCTTCTCCAAGACTTCTAGGCCACAGAGAGATACCTGCCTCCACTCAGGATTTGCAGCCCCCAACCCTCTCTAAGTGAAGGACCTAAGCCATTTCTATTAAAACAAAGAAGAGATCTCTATCTTTTAAAACACACCCAGAGGCAGTGTCAGGGTGACTCCCCTTCCCTCCCTGTCCCCACCTTATTATATAATAACCTTTTGGTTACGATACAGAGACGTAAGTTCAAATCTCTCTTGTACCTGAGGCAATTTAGACCCATACCTCCCAGGAGAGTGCCCTGACAAACATATAATGAAAAGCTAATGGTGCACTTCCCAGCCCTCCTACCAAAGTGCTTCCACACAGCTGAAAAAAAATTCAAGATCTGCTGGAAGAAAGAGACCTGGCTTCCCATCCCTGTTGCAAGGAGTGTTATTGATTTTAATTAGACAGTCAAGAGATTAAGTGTGTAAACAGTCCTAGGAGCAGGGACCAGAACAGGGATCTCCAGTGAGGACCCTTACCACAAGGCCATGGGTGCATGCTCACTCTCTGTCTTCTTCAGCCTAATGAATCTTAAACTGAGCAGCAGCCCTAACCGAGGTCTGAATGCTAGTGGCAGAGGGATGGTTAGTTAAGTTTGAGACTCTCAGACATGCCTAGGGATTAGGCAGATGCTGAGCTGCTCAGTGTGGGCAAGAATATAGAGAACTTTACTCGTGTCTGTGCGATAGGCAGGTGTTTGAGAAAGAAAGCTATATCAGATGAGGAAAGTCAGACAGGGGAAGACTAATGCAAGGGTCCTGGTTTCCTCTGTTTAGAAATCCCAAATTCTCAGATAAAAACTGCAAATGCTCTGATTAAACCCCCAAATTCATGATTAAAATGAAACACCACTATATATATAGGTATCAACTGAACACAATGTT